AGAATGGTGATAGAATTTTTCCTTGGCAGTTGTCTTCTTACTGCTGCCCTTCTTAATTATTATTTTGTGTGGGTGCCTTTACACGTACTACCAACATGACATGACTTGATACATTTTATTTGACAGTCCAGCTTTGGATATGTTTGACAAGCGGGAATGTTCGAACCCTGTGCCGTAGCCACGTAATATAATCAGAAATATTCCACAGATAAATCAGATTGGAGCAAGGATATATTATAATAAAAAGTCTAGACTAAAGAAGATTGAAGGATCCACGATAATTAAATCATTGTTACAAGCATTCTGGGTTCTTTATTTAATGGATGAAGGTTAGACAGGGTGAAGTTTTACGCCTGGATAAATTACTTTGCGATTAATGTAAGCAGGGGGTTATCTAATTATTGCTTTCCCTGTAGTTCCTCTACTTACAGCAATTCTCCCTTTCTCCCTCTTTCCCCATTTTCCATGGCATATTTTGAGCTGACTTTGAATTAATGAAATCACTGATCAAAATGACGCCACAGCCGATAGATTCCTAGAAACTGTCAACCCCCTTCAATACCTTTATCCAAATTAGGCTCGTTATGGTTATAATGGTTAAAATGATCGGAATGTCAATGGGGGAGAGATTTACCAGTCTTAACCCTTCGCGTTTTATTCCGCTAATATTCCGTATAACCAAAATTTAGCAGAGGTTATAATTTGGATTTAAGATTTGGGCCGTGTAATGAGTCCGATTTCTAAGCAATGTACTTCACAATCTACAGAAATGGAATACTTTTGGATTATGGACTGACAGTTTACCACAGATATATTGTATTATATTCATTATAAGATTAAAAAAAGACAAACGAAGATTAGAGACAAGTAATTCCACCCCTGTAACAGGACCTTCTGATTTGTCCGTCAAAATAAAAGTAGATAGAATTAAGGGTGGCGCGGATATTGGTTAATTGGGTCAATTGTGGAAAATCTCAAGAAAGGTCATCCAGTACTCTGTAATGCCGATATAGGTTAATCAATCTTCAGATCGTAATGAAACTGTCCGTCTGGATGTCAGTGTATTTAACAAAAATATCCTTTAGAAACACTCGAGTCTTCACCAAAATTGTCATCTAGTGGATTCTAGAAACTCGATTAACTACTATAGCGCGGTTACTAATTTGTTACACAAATCTATCCGGCGTCCTTTCCACTGCGCTATATTTGAGTATTTCACATAGCTAACTTTTTTTGTTGTTGTACTTTCGTATAAAAACGAAACCAAAAATGAAATACATACGTTGTGCGAATTGAACAGTATTGTGATGGGGCACTGTCTGAATCGCGTAGTAATCTTATTATTTAAACTATATGTTATTGGTTGTTAGAGTCGTCTGTGAAGAGTTTTGGTGGTTGAACAGTGTCGTCGTAAAGATCAACGGCAATACATAAGTAAACAGTGTAGAAAACAATATAAGGTCAAAAGCAATATTTAACTTAACTAAAACAATGTATAGAACAATGAGAGAGAGAGAGAGAGGGGGGGGGGGGTAACGTCCACTCGACACAAACTAGGTAATTTCGGAACTTGCGCGTAGGGGTCTTTAGCAGTGGGAGGAAACCGCGGAGGACGCGGAGATTACACGTGAGGTTGGACAGGCGACCATATTCCTTGTTCCTTGTCAAGTAGAAGGGGGGAATCGAAACCACGTCACTTGACTCACCGACAGACCTTATGATCCAACGCGCACGCGTTAACCATTCGCCCCCAAACCCCCCGTAGAGAACAAGATACATGTATCAATAACAAGATAGACAAACAAAAACAGGCTCGGTCAAGAGGGATTGAGATTTTGAGATTTTACACATACTCAACATGAATTAGGTTGTTGTTGTTTTTTGGGTTTCTTTTTTAGGAAATGTTTGTTTCAGTAATATTAGCTCTGAAGACGCCGTAAAGCCTAAAGATCTTGGCACTAATGTAAAAGTTATTTAAATATAGATTATTCCATCCAAATATAAGTATTTTTTGGTATATTATTATATATATATCTTAATACATTGTTCAACGGGAGTTCCGGTACCCTAATACTGCATTGTGGAGACGTGGAAAGTAACTCCGAACTGAGTAGTGCAAGAACAAGGAGAGTAGACTATCTTAGGTTGAATAGAGCGGTTGATGATCGGAGTATTGCCGGCATATCGAAAAGAAGTAAAAATGGCGCAAATTCAACAGTTTAACAGAAGAGAGAAAACGTTTGAATGAAGAAATATTTAAAGAATACTCGTGTAATTTTCGAAAAAAAAAACCCACATAAAAGACAATCTTTCACCTGTTGGCTGATAAACTAGATGACTTCGAGGAATACCGAAAAGTAGTTCCCACTCCCAAGATCAACACACTTGCAAGTCACAGATATAGTAGGTATTATAACCCCGTGATGTTGATATCATGGAACGATTTGGTGATGAAGAAGCTGGTTTTGAAGATATCATGGTTCTTTGCATGATCACCTATTTCAGTAATCCAACGAGTCTAGCATAATTATATGCCATTATCCTATGATTTGATGAAGAGTGTTAAAAAATGTTAGGCTAAAAATGTAGTTAGAATTAATTTGACAAAATCTAATGTAGATTTGAATAATTCTGTACCGAATGTTTGTAAACTAAATAAAATGTTAATTATGAGCAACAGGATCGTTTTCTCTTGGAAATTCTAAATCATGGAGATAGTATACCATAGTATATTTATTTTAAAGCATAGCTTCATGATAGTAAACCATTCATGAACGATAAAGCATATTGGCGTCGCTCATGGCCTTCCATCCATCTTTCTTTTTGATATCGAGACTTTTTATTCATAAGTGCTGGGCTGATATAATTATTTAACCATTCAAAATTCAGCTTCACACATCAGTTATTCGTAGATACATTGTCCTTACCCATTGCTCACGTCGTCGATCGCCATTTCCGCCAATTGCGATAGAAATATAATTTTCTCCATCGGAAACGTGATAGGTCAGAGTTTTCAAATAATATCTAGCATTTTAAGGACGTAACATGTCGGATAAAAATAGTGCATTAAACTATATTAAACAGCAAAAAAATGTCATTACGATCTCAAAATTAGAGAGGCACTTTAATAAAATCATTCTAGAAAACGACTTACTAAATGGATCAAAGTAATTTTTTGTGAACAGTATCACAATTCCAAGACATTACGAGGAGGTTTAGAGTCTGTGCACAGTCTATACATCAGTGTATACATCTGGTGTTCCACCGCGAGTGTCAATAACAGCAATGCACTGTCTGTACATGGAGTGGACCAGATGATTTATGATCTCCATTGGCACCTGGAACCACACTCTCAGAAAAGTCTGGCGCAATCCATCAGGTGTGTTTTGTTTCGGTACGACGTTATTAAGTCTCCTCTGGATTTCATCCCAAAGATGTTCAATCGGGTTTAAGTCCGGGCTAAGGGCTGGCCAGTGCATAACGTTGACACCGTTCTGCTGTAGAAAGTACCCCGAGTAACTCTGGCGATGTGAGCACGGGCGTTGTCATTCTGGAAAACGTTGTTTCGATGACGTGCGAAATGTGGTATGACGTGAGGTCTGAGAGATTGGTCGATGTAGCGCACTGCTGTGATGCCGCCTCCTCTCCCTGGACCAAGATTTTGGAACACCACAAGACCCACTTACTGGTTCCGGCCGATTCCACCCGAACCATTATGCTTGGATCTCCCCATGGGTCTCGTTCCAAGACACATTGGTCAGAATAACGCTGGTCCTGCCATCTGCAGTTGATACGCAATACCGACGCTCATCTGTAAACAGAACAGTTCTCCATTGCCTGTGCCGCCAGTTCTGGTGTTGTTGCGCAAACTGTAGACGTTCACGTCGATGGCTAGGGGTGAGGATCGGTCCATGGTAAGGTCTACGGTAATGGATGTTCTCTTTGGTGAGACGTCGGCGCACTGTATCGGTACTGATGGGTCTTCCGTGTGTTCCCACTGCCTGACGTGCTGTCCCAGATGCCTATGTGAAGGGATTCTGCACGTGCTGTCGCACAACATGGCGGTCTTGTCGGCTTGTGGTAACCCTTGGTCCACCAGTTCGGGGCGATCATCCGTGGTGTTGGTGACCCGAAAGCGTTGCTGGAGACTGTAGATGGTCCGAACATTGACCTGGAAGTGATTGGCAACGGCTTGGGCAGTGTGGCCAGCGTCGAGTCTTCCAAGCGCCTGGTTCCTGTGAGCTGTCGTGAGTCGTGGCATACTACTGACGTTGTAGTGTGAATGATTCAACCAGGTATGGGGGTGCATTTTATAGGGGTGGTCCCGGTGAACAGCCCGTGCAGCATGAGTTACATGAAAATCACGGAGAACACATTACCATCTCAGAAGTCAGGTTGCGTTTTTGAGAACATTTCCTGGGTTCAATTCTGTGTTTGGGAAGGAGCCTTATTGCTCAGATAAAGTTGGAGATGTGGTCACAAATATACAATAAAAACATTTGGCAAGTTTCTTTTGCTGCTTAGTATAAATCAAATCGACGATGTTATTTTAATCAAACTAAATAAGTCTGGTTATGTTAAAGAGTTAGCATAACACAAAATATCTGAAAAGTGATATTAAATAGAAAACCAAATAGAAACCGCAAATCTAAACACAGATAGCCATGTGAAATTAATATAACTATATTAAAACAGTAAGTTACAGTAGGTTTGACTAAGAAAAAGTTATCAATCTTGTTTTGTTAACAACCAAATCTTTGATACATATCTCAAAATAGGCACAGTTAGGGCTGTAATTAAGCACGTCCAGGAAGAATGTACATCAATATTACTAAAAGATGGCGGAAATCATTGAAGATTATAACCATGACTTCATTTTGAATGGAGGGATTTGAACATTTTTTTGTTTTTTACCAAAACATACTTTTGATTGTGCAGGATTGACACTCTGCATTTAACTTTTACGGAATTTTAAAAATGATATACAAAATTTACAATACCTGTTCTGTTGTATTTTGAGACAAGAGTTCGTATAAATCCAAATCTGTCAAAAAATCCGCTGCCATTTTTTCAATCTTCACCCAAACAATAATCCGATATAATTGGTTAATCCTTTATATGAGTTCGATCAGGTATATTTTAATATCTATTTCTTACAAAATGTTTTTCCACGGTAAGTCATACATGTCACTATTTCTTAATATTTAATTCCACATATAACAATAATTTGTTTAATTTCTTAAACTGCAATTCCACATTAAGCAATTTGAACAATTATTTCTCAATATAGAATCCACAATCTAACTCTTCATCAACTGAAATTCCACATTGGGCAATTTGAACATTTTTTTTCTTAATATGTAATTCCACAGGGTGACATATTGGTTAGCCCGTTCTTAATATGTAATTGCACATTGAGAGACAGACTAAGAATGAATAACTTCAACACGCTGTATTATCAACCAAAGCTTGGACGATTTCTACCACAATCTAACAGCCACGCGATTACATTCGAATACTATTTCAAAGCTAAGATAATATTGTATAGAATAATTTAAAACATTTTTTTGTATATTAGAACATCACCCGCACTGAAAATCAATTAAAATAAATGGTAATTTCCATCAAGATAACGCTTAGCTTTCCATATTTTAAAAATAATAGTTTTCCCGATAATTTAAGCCGTAAATATGCTACGTACGTGTATTTCACTCTCTTACGTATATTTCAATAGCATTGTTACAATCAATAGTCCCTATATGTAACCACAGTAATTACGGTACACATATTTAGTATATAATATAATATGGTGTGTATTTATATCACCGATGTATCTCCGATACAAACAAGCCAACACATACTTGCTTTCAACAAACCATTTCTCGCTAATCTGAATGTCTTCTGGTGAGAAAGTCAATGAACTAAGACTACGTTATTGTTTCCCCTGAATTCATAATATCATCTATTAATAGCAATTCTTTCTTTTTCTCCTTCTCTTCTTTTGCATCGCAATTTTTGTGAACTTTTTGTTCTATAATCGAAGAAGGGTGTTTGAATTTACATTTTCTGACAGGTTTTGGTGAATATAGATGGTTTTCAAGCGTAAGGGTTTAGGAAGTACACATACCTGAATAAGGTAAATCACCTACCACAATGATGGTCAGCCCGTTTCAATATATTTATCAGGTGATTGTGACATGTGTCATGGCTGGTATAACAGCATTGTTAAGAAAGTTTTGTTGTCAGTCAACTTTTGACAGCCATGTATGTGGTAGACTCTATATATACATGTAGCATCTATTTTTGAGGGGTATGCATAATTAACTCCCACAGCTTTCCAATTTATAGAAAAATCCTTGGCGTCCCATGTACGGAACTCTGGTGAAACCACTAGAAACGTCAACGGTGATTGATTAATCAATGGCTGACGTCATAGGGCCAAAAGCCGCTGTACGACCCCTGACACGACCTTCGAGTACAACTTGTCAGGTCTTCATGTTGTGTAGGCCATCGAAAGTATAAAAAAAGAAACTAAATATAGATCTGTATTTTAATCAGATTGTTTATGGATAAAAGCGTTTGAATATTAGGCCTAGACTTGATCATCATTATTAAAGTCGGTACGATAAAAAACATAGTCTCGAGTATCCATTTTTGGATTTAATTATCAATGAGCGTTGAGCAGCAGATCGGATTCAAATCCAGTGAAAATCCAACACATAAGATGGCATTGAGAGTTGATTAAGGTCTTTTCGTGTTAATTAATGTCTTAAAATTTAGATAAGATTTCGGACCTAAAGAAAGACCTTCAATAGACAGATTTAGCTCTTGCATAATGTATGTTTAAATGATGAATTAATATGAATAAAAGCATTATTATCTTATATAAAGCTAATTTTATTGCTAATTTAAAAACATTTATATAGTTTTCCATCGCAGTATAATGTAACCTTAGTAGTCTTAGTCTGTAGAGGGTCACGGGACCTTGGTTTTTCGTCCCATCCGAACGACTAGACAGCAGTCCTTGTCAGGCCCTCCGTCCTGCATCACTGACAAGGGGACCTCTGATTGTCCCAATGCTTCACCTCGAAATTGAACAAACTATCGGTTAAAAACTGTAGCCTCTATCGCGTTCACAGGGTCTTCGAAAGGGGGTTTAGCCTCGTAACGTGGGTTCAGGGAACGCTAAATATCTATAGGGTACTTCCGTTCACACCATCGATTCGCACTATAACCTCCATCAAAACTATAGCCTCTACCGCTAGGGAGTAACTCTGGAACATTAAATATCAATAGGATTCGTCCTTTCATGCTAAGGGATGTGGGGTGGGGGCATAACTTTGGAACGAGTGATCACGGAATGCTGATTATCGATATGGTTTGTCCTCCCGTGACCCAAATGCTTCATGCCAAAATTTGAAAACAATATGTTAAAAACTATAGCTTTTACCGCGTTGACGGCATTAATCTTCTAATAGCATGTCAATAGCCTGATTTATATTCAATAATCCGAAAACGAATTAGTACATTAGCTAAATGAACTCAATGATATATTCTGAACATTTTCCTAAATAAAAAAAATGTCAATATAACAATGTACATGGTCTTCCGCTGGCAGCGTTCTAGTAATGGGAAGCGCCCTAGTAATGGGAACCACAATCATAGATTTTAACCATATCCACATAAATAAGCTAATGTTTGTGTATTTGGGTCGGGTTTGTGAAAGCTGACATTGCCTTCAATTTATCAATATCACACAGAAACATTCTTATGATTGATAAATTCGCATTATGTTACTAATTCTATGCATATTTTACGTTTTGGAACTATTTCAAAACTGGGACGCTGCCCTTAATGACACCATTTATTTAAAAATCGTTCTTTCCTTAAATTTTTAGCCAGTTGTATTGGAAATATATTTGGAACCTAGATAATGTAACTTTTTGTTGATAATAAAAATAAATTGGGGTATATGGGACTAAGACTAGTAGTTATTTCCTGAATTCACGATTGACCAATGTTGTCCGTCTATTTATAGAAATTCTTATTTTTTATTACCCCTCTTCATCTCCTTTGCATGTCAATTTTTGTTTAAAATTTCCATTTTCTGCAAGGTTTTGGTGAATATTGATGATCCTGCGGTGGAAGGGTCACGAAATAAACAGACCAGAATTAGCGAAACCAAAATGACGTCACGGCGTATAGATTCCGTTAACCTGGCCTAGAAAAGCATCGAAATGATCATCCTATTTCAATATATTTATCAATATATTATGAGTATTCAGACCATCGCAGGTCAAGAAACTCCGTGAATTTAAGAATTAAAGGGAGATAATTACTAGTCTTAATCAGACCACTAGTAAATTCTACTATAAACGTACTCTTCTATTAATAGTCTGTCTCATTCTCCCTTTTCCCCATTTTTGTGTGACCATTTTTGTTGACGAAGAGTGTTTGAATTGACATTTCTGCCACGATTTGGTAAATATTTATGATTTGGAGGCAGAAGGATAGCAGTCTTTAACAAAGTTAAGAAGATAGTAACGGTGATATATGTGCTGTCAATAGTACCAGTATGATTACTTCCTATTGTCTAACCCAAAATATCCGTGGTCAATTTCATACATGCTTTGTGGCAAGACATTGTAAGGTTTTCCGTCTGTAGTAGAGAGCGTTCAACCCAAAAAGTATTTGGGAAAAATTAAATCAAAGTAAATAAACAATTAATTCCCTTTAATTTACACCCTCTCACAATCATTTATATACAGGGCACAATTCTATGGAATACAATTGCTGTTTATCAGTTGTTATAAGGGTTTTATTTTATAAAGAGAGTACATAGAGCTGATTTTCCAACTCTACTTCCACGAGAGGGATTAAACAAAGAAATGGATGCTTCGAATGGTTTTGATTGGTTGATGAATACTAGGACCTGCTATAGTTTTCGGCGGAGTGGACACAATCGCCGAACTAGGCGGTGGCGATAAATATCACTAAGCGAAATTTGCTGGCGAAGGGTTCGGCTGAATGATTCGCCTAGGCTAAGTGTGTCCTAGGCATTAACCATGCATGGACCTTATAAGGTCGACGAATAAACTAATATTAGGTCCGTTGCTGCGTGGAGTAGGATTTGTAAAGTATGGCACGTTACCATATTTTTTTATTGTTATATTAGCGCTGAATTAATTGAATAACTATATATATGATTATCCGTATCTATTCAGTTACATTGAGGGTGATTAGAAAAATTTAAGAATTGTATAACATTTAAACAGAATTGTGTTTTCCCTATACAAAATGTATAATCAAAGGCGATTGGGCCCTTAGCACGAAAGACAAAATCGAACCAATAGTAAGCGAACGTTATAAATGGGGAACTATAAGTTTTCTTGATTGATAAATTTCGAGCGGTTCGGGGAATTGAATTCCGGGTCGTTCAATCGTTCAATCCAATGAGAAGAACACCAAAGACCCTCTCTTAATTTAATGTTGGGTTGTGTTGAGTTGACGTTACATTAATTAACATTAAAGTAAGAGAGTGGCTTTGGTGGTTTACATCCTGTATAATGACTGGCATAAAGAACAGCGCGATGCGAATTATTAAATATACAGTCACCATACTTTAAGCCTGAAATGTCATGATTTGTGTCAAGTTGAAGTTAGAGGTGGACAAGAATTAAGACATTACAGGACTGAAATCTTTATTCAATAATTTGCTTGTGCGCAGTATTCTTTATAAGTGGAGAGTGGGCGAAGATGTTAGAAATAAACCACGAGGTTAGACAGGAACCGTACTTTTTGTCACGAACAAGCATAAAAGGAAATGAAGCGGAGCGTTCACTTATTATTGTGTGTAAAGGGAGCTAACCCCGTTTTAAATACCAGTCATTATACCGGATTTAGCCCACCAAAGACCCTCTCTAACTTTAAACTAGTCAAGTCTTTAACTCAGTATCATCCAGTCTTCGGCATTGCAAACACGACTTATTGGTCAGTTTAAATCAGTATTGATGTTGTTATCTTACCGTTAATGCTTCGGCTTCTGTTATCCAATATTTACGACACAATGAAAATTTTAAACTTGGCACCCGAATCGCGTACCAGAATGCTTGCGAGCACCATTTGTAATGAGCGAGGCTAAACATATCCCACAATGGAACATTGCTCTCTTTGCCTGTACATGCGCCTGTGGCATTAACTACTCTGAAAATATCCCATTAAACTAACCATACTGTACGTTTATTAAGTTAAATTTGGTAATATTATGGTAACACACGTTATTTGTCGTCAACTTCAATTTAATTTAAAACTATATTAATGTTTAATATTAACATTTATAATAACCCAGTACACATGTGGTTTATCAATAAAACCATATCGATAGAATCATAAACATTCAGATTTAAATAAAGGAACCAAAATCTACTATAACAATTTAATATTTATGACCGATGGATAAGATGTCTCTCGTAAACCCTTAATCGTATCTTTCTGGGTCAATATTTAACCTATTTAGCTCAAGTAAGTGTAAACAGAATGCAAACATGTATTTAAGAGCGTGTCCGTCAGGGGTTTGGGTCAATTGTTTCTGTGAGATGGGTTAGTACCCAGATACATCTCCACAAAATATTAGATTGAATCAGTTGATACCGACCTTGGCAAATGTGAATAATATTTTTTAATGGAAAAATAAGCAAAAAAAACAAAACAAAAAAACCCCCCAAATTCGAACAATAATTGATTTTGAGAAACACAATTTTGGTCATTAGTAAGACCACTCGGGCTCCTCCTACCCACCGAGTTTAAGGTTCTGCTGCTAATGATACCATGGTACTGGCGCGCTACCCAACTCTTTCTGAAAACTGAGAGGCTCGTCCTTGGAAGGGACTGGGACCAAAGTTGATTGTTATCCACAAATAGCAACCTCCCTACACAATAAATAATAAAAATGACAGGAACGGGCATACTAAAAGCAAGAGAAATAATTTAAAAACACCGAAAATTGGGATAAAATGTCCCGTTTATTAATACCCCATTTGAAGTATATGGACATTTTTACAAATTTAATCTATTCCATTTAGTAGTTAGAAAGAATGATTTAGATGGTGATGCATATGTATGGACAACTTTACAAAGTTAATATGTTCCAAGGATGATTAAAATTTTGACTTGAGAGAGAGAAATGAGGTTTAAAGTTCACTCCACACAAACTAGGTCATTTTGGGACTAACATGGTATATAATTTTATGTCAATAATTCATTTGCGCGTAATGAGAAAATCTACTGAACTGCGATGGCTCGTGTCACGTCGCCTATGGTGTTTCTGAGGGATGTACATGTTTGCTCTTGTAACAGGTTTTAAGGGCGGGGATCGGTTTTGTAGATGAGCTAGTGACATTAAACGGTAGTCACACGATCAGCAACATAATATGTTAATCAACATATCTTAAATGCAAAATTTCAACAACAATGCGTTAGCTTTAAAACATGTTCATTGATATTTAATAATGGGTAAATATGTCTTATCAATGCAAACATCAAAATGGGCCATTTTCGGGTTCACACCATATCCTAAATGTTTTCATCACAAAATTCATTTTCATAAACATTATGGATGGTACCACACGTTTACACTGTCCATCATCAGGTGTACCACCACACCTTAACACTGTTCATTATCGAGTGTACCACTACACCATTAAACTGTCCATTATCGGGTGTACCACTACATCTTTACACTGTCCATTTTCGGGTGTACTACTACATCTTTACACTGTCCATTTTCGGGTGTACCTCAACATCTTTACAATGCGCATTTTCATTGTCCATTATCGAGTGTACCTCCACTTTAGACTATAAACACTGTCCTTTATCGGGTGTACCACAATTTTAAACCATAAACACTGTCCATTGTCGGGTGTGTAATGATTTTAAACTATAAACACTCTTGGGGGGTTGGATGGCCGAATGATTAGTTTATCCTAAGGTCTGTTATTGAATCAACTGGCGTGGTTTTGATTCCCGGGTTATATGTGACAAGGAGTAGAGTCGCCTGTCCAACCTCGGGGATTTTCTTCAGGTTCTCCCGTTTCTTTAGACTGCTAAGCGCAAGCGAATCATGTAAATAAAATTGAACCATATGTTAGTCCCGAAATGACCTAGTTTGTGTCGAGTGGACGTTAAACTCTATTTTTTTCTCTATAAACACTCTTCATTGTCGGTGGGGAGGGGGGGGGGGGGCAACGTTGGCGTGGTGACCGCAATTTTGATTGAGAAACAAGATCCTATGAGGGCAAAAGAAACCCGCAATATTTATATCGTTATATAATCGCGAAGGCGGATGTGTATTTTTCTCAAAAAAATGTCGCTGTGTGGAACGTATCTGAGTCACGGTATGTGTTTGACGAGTGTTTGGTCATAATTTTATTCCATTTACGAGGGGATGGGTCACCAAAACTGAACAGAGCACAACAACGCTAAACCCGTAGTTATTATTGGTTGTTATATTCTCGTAACTGGACTAAACATCTAATAAAAATCTGTCATCAACAATCTCTATTATCTGTTTTTTGACGGATGAAGTTTCCTACAATCACTAATCCCACAAAAGCCGCAATCTCGTATACAACTGTGACAAGCATCAACGTCATCAGAGATCCTGGTCCTTCAGAATCAAATAATTTCCCGCCAATAAACGGTATCAAGATTTCCCCGATACCGGATGCAACAAGACACGTTGAGATGACACTTCCGGTTACCGGCATGAACTGGTCACTCCACGCTAGCACCGTGGGAAGATATGTCGCCGCGAAAACTCCAAGAATAGAAGTACCAATCCATAGAACGTCTTCACGCTTTTCGCCAACAACAACCAAAACAATAACAGATATCAACAGCCCAGCAAAGTTCATCAAAAGAAGAGCAAAGAGATTCAAATATCTAGACAGAACTAAGTTAGCAACACGTCCTAACAAAAACGAACCCCAAAATAATGACGTCATAGTCGCCATTTTGGATTTATTCAATTGAAGTTTGCCCTCCACTCCAAAAGGTGACAATAAATCCCCGTATGCCAAACATAGTCCAAATATCGGAATGTGAAAAAGGAATAGAAGGGACAGATACAGAACTGATCCCTTATGAAATGTTCCAAATGATACACGATTAAATTCTTCATATGGAATTACGCCTTTCCGTCTCTCAAAGTAGTAATAGTAGGCAAACGCAATTGCAGGAGGGACGGATAGTATCCCGATTATAATGTATGCTCCTTGTACTTGAGTTTCACCGTAGGTATAGCAAGACGGTTCGCCAGTTAATGTGTAATTGGTACATATCACAGTACCGTACGGAGAACTAACGTAATGTCCTCGTTGCAACGTATATATAGGGTGATCCACGGTGGCTTGACTGTAACTAACCGAGTGTTTACCTGCTAAAAATGGTTCAGCTATAAAGGGCGCTAAGAATGACGCGATACCACCACCCAGTGCCACGAACTGGAATGATACACCTTTACTGTCTTTCCATAATGAATTACACACAGTCATGATGGCTGAAATAAAAGAACATATACGAAAATTAAACTTAACACAGATCATGCTAAAATGACTAACGATATATTGGTTAAAATGTCCGACGATTTCAATACATACAACTGTGTCTATAGTCCTCGCCAACGTTACACTCTCCTTGCTTCTTGCCAGATATTACAGTTGTGTTTATCCATACCATTTGTCATAGAGCCGGGGAGAGCTTTCTTTTTGTGACCCAAACTAGCATGTAAACATTATAGCTGTACCTTTTCATCTTTATCCCAAATGATGAAAAACCAAGATCCCGTGTACACGTTGGCGTGCACGTAAAAGAAGCCCAAGTAGTTGGAATGGGATATATGAGTATTCCGTAGTGCCGTTGTCCGAGCAAAATTTTCCTAATAGCACACTGTATATCGTATGCCTGTCTTGATTCGCAAACAAGTCAGGACAGAACAAAGGGAATTAAGCCCCATTTTATTTCATTTCACTTATTATCAATTGAACCCCATTCCCGAAAACAAATAATAATCTCATTAAGGAAACATATACCAACCAAAGTGGTAATTAGCTCCTTTAAATTACTTACCGTAATCTGCGATTCCTTTGGTACAACCTTGTAGAAAGAACAAAATCATGAGATACACATAACTGGAGCTCAATGTTAATACAATGTTTACAACACTTCCAAGTCCTATCGACACGGCTAGGACAACTCGCAAGCTGCAGTATCGCTCAGCCACAAAACACAGTAAAATTCCCATTATGAATCCAGCACCAGCAACAAAAAAGATGTATGTAATGAGATTCATCTCCACTTGAACTAAAATCTGTAGATCTATTAATGTAGGTCCAAGGATGCCATTATTAAAGCCCTATAAAGAGACAAACAAATAGTTCAACAATCTACCCAACATGGTCTTTAAATATTATTCTATTAAAATTATTACACTAATAAAGGATCAATATGTCCCCAGTCCTGCAACAGGCGCCTTTTCCACTCATAAATTGAAGAGACTGTTCCAGTCAGATTCGAATTCTGGGACTGCGGCTTCAGAGCCACGCATTATATTTACAGGTAATTATTTCATAATGCAAAATTTTATCTTTTTTTGATAGAGTGGCGTCCTCATCTGCTTGTGTGGCTTACAGTCGCATCCTGATCCTGTTGAAACACATAGAGTCTCGCATTGAGGTCACCCCAGACTTTATATTTAAAAAAAGATCAGTGGCAGACACATTTCCGGAATTTGTCAACATCCACATTAACGATAATGTAAAATAATATAGGTATAATACTTTTTGAGTTATTCCACTTTAAATAGTGTACTCGTTTCTTCTATGCCACCCGATATATGTTTAATATTAACCGTCGTTAGTCTAGATTTGTATAATCATCATAATTTGTAATCATATGGATAAACCAGTTATAAAATGTATAATACACCACTTTCATTACATATAGCTTGTGTAGCCAAATGTAGCGATGGTTTTCGCTTAGCTTTACATCAACTTACGTGCCATAACGTGTACCTTGAAGGTTTGGGGTTTAACTTCCCGTCTAATCAAATTGTCTATATTGTTATACGGGGCTGTGTATTGTGATGAGTTCTGGGAAAACGATGGCGAGGCTGATTTTGATTTAAAAGCTATAATCATTTGATATAGAGAGATATCTTCATGGTATGATACGGGCTCATTAACAGTTGTTGCACCCTGCAACTCGGACAAGGGGGAAACCCTGGGATCAAACTCAGGACCCCCACCCCCGAGTCTGAAAACCAGCGCCCCACTAGTTGAGCAACATTTACTCACATAAGATTATAAAATACGAAATACAGATCTTTATCATATCTTGGTATTTTGCTTAAAATATCCAGCAGTAGACCAATCTGTACATGCTCGGTAGTAAAATGGTAAATGAAAAGGCCAAGATGTTAGAGATAACAATATTATATGTTTTAGTTTTCCTAATGAAAGCCAGACGTTAAACATACCCTGAAGATCGGGTGTTAATGGTCAGGCGTATATATTTCTTGATATTCATAAATATGTGCTTAAAATATGGAAAATCTTTACCCACGCCCTTCCTCTTTTGATCGCCTATAAACAAATGTGTAATACTTACTATAAGAAAGAAGCCATAGAAGAGCCAAACAGTTTGTATAATCCTGAATCGAAATGATTCCGGTTCATTCTCCATGATGCTGGTAAGGGATGATGCTATTCCGGAATAAACTGATGCTAACCCTACTCAATGCTTACAGCAGTTTTAGACTTACACCTGCCAATATTGTCCTTGCTGTTGTTATGCGCGATGATGGATACAAGCTACAAAGAAAATAAGAGCCTTGTAAAGTTATACATCTTGTCAACCGTATTTTAATTCAACTCGAACCATAATAATAATTGTAAAAATGAAATTAAATAGCTTTAACCTCCTACTTACGCCATTCAGTGTGCTATGAGTTAAATTTTCCCAAATAGTGGCGCTGCGACCTATTCTTATTTTGAATGCCGACTGCAACGGGTTCTTTTACTCGCACGCACAACTGACAAGGGAAATCGGGCCGGAAAATCCCCAAGGACATTCCTGGCCAACACCGGGAGCGGATCCTAGAACCCAAGCTAGCGAGTCAGCGAGTTCCTTATAATTTTAGAACACGAAAAGTAAGTTAAAAGTTATACCATATTCTTAAATATTTCTGATCTTAAACTATGTCATTCTGAGACTAACCTATAATTCCTGAACATAAGCACATGTCTAACATCTAAATCCTAAATCGTTAAGTAAGTTACCACTTCATTAAATATATCTGATATCAAATTATATCATTTTGAGACTAACCTGAACATAAACACGTGTTTAACATCTAAATCCCCAATAATAGATAATATTACCGAAACCAATCTGTCAAGACGACGTGTGGTTTTTCCTGTGTTGCTGCTAGGTCGTTCCTAACCATTGATAAGATCAACTAAATGTTAGTGATATATTTGATGCGTGCTGTCACCGGGAAACTCCTATTTTATTGATTTTGTACCGCCAACGAGGTGCTATAACTATTAATAATACACCATTGTTTAATATTTAATTTATTCCTTTTGTTATTTATCCCTCAACCAATTATGGATTTACATCTAAATTATACATTACAACCTCACGGCATTATATTTAATCGGATTGTTTACTTATCTAATCGTAATATTTGGATATGCTTCAGATACCAATTCACATGTAAATCTTCATTCCAGCCATGCAGCAAAATACCACTACGGCTAGATTGTAATAAAGTAAGGTCTGTATTTTTTTCACCTTGAAAATCTTTAGTGTCATCTACTGATATTTTCTACCTTTGCCCGTTTCCTTATCGATTAAAATATGTATATTTGGATCATTGTTTGCGTGGAGAATGATTGGGATTTCTAGTTTATCCCACCTGCTCTACTTTTCTGTCCATTTCTATGAAATAAAGGCCAGATTGAAGCTGTTTATGTGAACTTATTTGAAGAACATATTTTTTTGGTAAATTTTTATTGATTTCCAAGAAAACACATTATACCACATTTTGAAGTGAAAACATGAAAAAGTTCAAAAATATATTTTTTTTCACACATTTACAATGCTATAACAATAAGAAATTCTTTAATACCACTCAAAAAAGAAGTCTTTTTATATAAAGAACTATCTGTGCATACTAACTTACGATGTCAAGCATAGTTACCACAAGATAGTCACAATACATAGTTCATAGTTAGCACAAGATGGAGTAGGGTAATGTGGGGTAAAGCGCCCACCTTAAGAGAAACTCTGGGCCCAATTCATATTTCTCAACCTTCAGAAACCACTTCAGGATTATATCAAACTACTGATGATATTGTGTTGTTTAACTTATTTTTATCAGGTTATGTCTATAATAAGTAAACTTGTGAGTAAAATACCAAAAACCAAAAATGGGGCGGAATACCCCACAAATTGGGCGGAATACCCCACACGTGGGGCGGAATACCGGACATGTGGGGCTAAATGGGTAACATCGTATATAAAGTACCACGTTGGGTTAAGGGCCTACCATGAAAATCTCGGATATGATTGGCAGTAGAGAGTCATGTGTTATCACACAGTAGGGTTTTAATGACGGCGCGTGTCCTCCAAAATATTGAAGTTGTAGACAAAAATGTATGTATTCTGTGTGACTTTCAAATTTTGGGGTCACTTTTTCTTAAATTGTAGATGGGAGTCATCGAGTGTAGCTGGGTAGCTATGAAAGCTATAGAAATCAAATTTATATCGATAATAACACCAGTATTTAATATCGGCCATTTTAAAACTTGTGCGACTGGTGGAAGTGGGAGAAATAGCCCACTACTGCTCGCGGCATATCGCCTATACCTGGGCAACATAACCACACCTGGGCTTATTTCCCCAAAATGATGCAAACAATTTTCATACGCCCATATTGATATGTGGTCGTATACTGCCGTCGTCCCCATCCGTCCGTCCGTCGGCCCGTCCGTACGTCGGTCCGGCGTCCAAAATCGCTTGTGGAAAATTGCTTGTTGAGGCTTTAGGGGCTAACGTTAATATCGGATTGACTTTAAATTTATACACTGTGTTTAAGGTCATGAGACGAAGAACCCTATTGATTTTCAACAATTTCCGATAATTACTGCCAGAGTGAAGGCCCTTGATCACTTTGAAAATTCTTGTGGAGCGCTCAAGAGACTAAAACGATAATAATTGTTACCTTTATAATAGAAACATTTTAAGACATGTTATTGCCGTAAACATATTAAAATATCGCAAACTGGGCACGCAGAAAAGGGTATTTAAACCAGCTTTGGTGGCAAAATGTTCTTTATTTCACAGAATCAAGGGATAAATAAACTACCATACTGTAAAATTTCATAAGCCTCCTATGTTGCATTGTATTCACGACGCCTATTTCACACAAAATCGTACTATATATCCAAGTGGACCTTCCATATAAACATCTATCTGCATAATAAGTTTATGAAAATACGCATTTAAACAACATTTAAATATTATCTACCACCTGTAGCACTTTCCACTCGAACTACAAATAAATTGTTTATTGGAATTTTCGATTAAACGGAAACGTTCTTGTTGCTGTAAAATATTCGATCAAAATACCAAGTGTTAATTTAAGGCTTACCATGTGATACAAAAATTTGCAACACGTTTGTTGTCATTTAATGCAGAAAGATATGTCGTTAAAACGACATATCTTTCTGCATTAAATGACAACAAATTGTTTATTGGAAACATATCCTTTTTTCTATTTTGTACCTGTAAAATAATATACGATTTATCATTTTATATAGCGTATTTCTACTAGTTAATGTTCGGTTTTGATGAATTGCTAAGGTTGCCACAAGTTAAATATGTGCAGAAGTTAGAAACACCAAGATGTACTCTATAAAGCACAATTTACAGTCAGTTTTTCAAAAGAAATATTGCGACTGTTCGGAGAGAACCCCACCGGACCCCTGCCGTTACGAAGCAAGGATCACTCCGCCCCTGGCGTATCATTAGGTGCATTTCTGATTATTTTTTGTCTAGTGTCCATTGCTGATGAAAAACAGTATTGTTGTGGCAATCACAAGAACTTGTGAAATGAATAACAGTCAATCTTATCGGAAATTAATTTTTGAACCCCATTTTGAAGTCAGTAACTCTGAAAAGTTTATTTTTGAAGGAATATCCAAAAGAATAAAAATCAATTCTTTAAATGACATCTAGAAGCAAGGTTAACTATTCATAACAAAACACATAATAGAGAAGTAGTTATATCCATATATAGCCTACCTTGTGTTGTGTTTTGTTAAGAAGAACAAAAATCACCATATTGGATTCTATTTTCATTGTCGTTTTAAATTTACCCCATCTTGGCTAATCATAATTAGTTTTTTTTTGATAGAAATGGAACTCTGCAACCTAAAATCCCTTAGCCTATAGGCTATAAGACATATTACAAGTCATATCTAACGGAAGTAAACAAAAATATGATTATTACTTAAAATTCTGACGTTTGGGATTTCATTATGGTGGCCATTTTGCATTTCTGCCATCATCGATTCTTGAATTTTATTTTTGAGATCAGAATTGAACACAGCGACACCGGAAACCATATAAATGACATGCAAAGGAAATAATGATGATTAGGCCCAACTTAAAATCCGCCATTTTGGCTGCCATCTTTAAACTCAGAGACATCGAAAACCTTATAGCTAAAAGTCACCTTACGAAATAGCTGGCATTTTTAGGGCTTTTTTTTAGTCCAATTCGTTATTTCAGCACATTTCGTCTCTATCACCATGTGTTTGAAGAATTTAAAAAAAAGAGCTATTCTCCCACCACTAAAACACACTGATAACGAAATAACGCTCTCCGAAACTTGTTGAAGACCGGCACATTGAATTGGGTATGAGTTTTCGTGAAAAATTAATAAAAGTTTCATAATAAATATATTTTTCACTTTAGTTCGCATAGACAGCTTCATTCAGATCTTTATTTCATAGAAATTGACAGAAAACTATAGCAGGTAGGATAAAATTGAAATAACGTCGGCGGTCATCTTTGATGACGTCATAGGAAATAACCTACCACGTGGTGAGTGTCCACCCAAGTCCAAAATACTTACTAAGCCACCTACTAAACATTTCTTCAAAAAAATTCTCCCTACTCAAACTTTCTACAGAATCATAGTCAGATCCAGGACTAGTACGGCGAAAGGCGACTTACATCAGTAGATGACGCTAGAGGAATTTTAATTGAGATGAAAAAAAACAAACCTTTCTTTCTTTATTATCATCTTGCCTGAGTAATCTTTTGCTGCACATTAAACGCAACAATTAGGTTGCAACAATGTGGAGGCAGGCTGCAAAACCAATGATCGAACAAGATGACCCTGCGATACAAGGCTGGAATGAAGATTTCCAATGTGAATTGGTATCTGAAGCATTGCCAAGGATATATGCGAGCTGTTGATTAGCCATCAAGAAGTTATCTATCCCGCTCATATTATGAAGTTTGATTTTGAATCTTCTGATGAAGACTAAGAATAAGCTAATATCTAAACATGTCTCTGATTTACTGTGGGGGTTTTTATGGACAGTTTCAGATCTCTCGCAAAGTACCATTATAATTTAATATTTGGAATGACGAAATTGGTACTGAACGAAAAGCAATCTGATTAAAATACAGATGTATATTTCGTTTCGTTTTTCTTATACTTTCGATGGCCTACACCACATAAAGATCTGACCAGTTGTACTGGGAGGTCGCGTCAGGGGTCATATGAGCGGCTTTTGACCTATGACGTCAGATATTGATTAATCAATCAGCGTTGACGTTTCTAGGGGTTTACCCACAGTTTACCCACAGATCAAGCCAAGAACTCGCCGTAACAGACCGTTTCATTGGCTAATACCTCACATCAACTAGACCGCCTGTTATATAAAAACTCTTCCAGATCCTAGTGTTATGAAGACAAGTAAAACGAAATTTTGAACTATAGAAAACGGAACGATATAGCATTTGTGTTTTAATCAGATTGAACAAAAAAGCTAACAAGAAAACACCTTTCAGGTCAATTTTTCGGAATCTACGCAAAAATCTGGTCTAGAAAATCTTCAGCCACCGGACTATATGTATACTCTAAACAAACCAGTGTTTGTATTTTGTATTTATTTAACAATACATGTATTTCAAATGAATTGCATTTATTTCTTTGTAAGCGTACTAATGTATCTTTATATTATTTTGAATATCTAAATTAAATAGATTTATTTTCTTCTTGATATTACCACTGCCTCTGGCAACTACTCATTAACGTAATGCAGACAAGAATACTTGCATCGATAGCGCGATGACATAGCACGAAACAGGAGGAGAGGGGGGGGGGGATATCCTCATATTATGCTAGAATAAAAGTTGAATATAGAATTTGAGACCATATCGGTCAATTCTGACTGAAATAGTGGCATTTAATGTTAACATTGATTTGTATTGACTATACCTTGCTAGCTTTATGGATGTTGGACAATTATAATAGTTCTTCTATCTTTTTTTATCTTTTCTTTTGAATATTTGAATGTGCCTTGCTCGCTGAGTTATAGTACTCCTAGTTGCTGATATTGAACACAGAATCAACCAGGGGTTTGGATGGCCGAATGGTTAGCACGTGCGTGCTGTTTCATAAGGTCTGTCATTGAGTCAACTGGCGGGGTTTCGATTCGCCCGGGGTACTTGACAAGGAGTGGGTTGCCTGTCCAACCTCCGGGTCCTCCTGTTTCCTCCCACTGCTAAAGACCCCTACGTGCAAGAGAATTATTTAAATAAAATTGAACCATGTGTTAGTTCCAAAATGACCATAGAATCAACAACCAAGTAAAATGGGTGTAATCACACAAAGGGTCACAGGTGCTATAGTTATGGTTAAAATTTACATAATACAGTATTTGTATTGACAAGAGTCAATAATCCAAAATGAACTGGTATACATAAACAGGTAGGGAGGATACAGTGGCAGTTAGGATCCTCTACTCGAGTAACAAATCTACTCCACAACCAATGGTTTGGATTCGTGTCGTATTTATGATAATTACGAATTTCTCACCGGAAACCAGCTCTAATACTTGCAGGTCATACAGCATTCAAACCCCCGTTACATGTCGTGCAGCACTCTAAGTCCCCGTTACATGCCATGTAGCACTCTAACGCCGTTACAAGACATACAACATTCTAACCTCGTTACGTGTCATACATCATTCTAACACCCTTACAAGTCGTACAACATTCTAACACCGTACATGCCATACAGCATTCTAACCTCGTTGCGTGTCATACAGCATTCTAACACCGTACATGCCATACATCATTCTAACCTCGTTACAATTACATGTCATACAGCATTCAACACCGTACATGCCATGCAGCATTCTAACCTCGTTGCGTGTCATACAACATTCTAACACCGTTATAAGTCATTCTCTTAAGAATGTCGACGTATGTGCTTCCCTTAGATAGGAAATCGTCACTCCGCTTTTGAAGAAAGCTACCCTGGATACTTAAAAAATACAGACTGGTGTCAAATTTATCTTACATTTAAAAAATGATCGGGAAAGATGTGGTTAGTCGCTTCTAGGAACATCTATTCGAGAATAACCCAACTGAACAGAATCTTCCCTCCTTCGTGTGTAGTATGAATGTTTATAAATCAGTTCAACTAATGGTTTTGAATCCCGCCCTGTTCACAACATACATTTCTACAATGGAGGATATCTATGCGGACGACACGAAACTTTATTTAGAACTTGACCTCTCTCCAAAAACCAACACCACGGACACAGAAAACTGCATCGAGAAAGTAAGTACTGTGGATGCACTGTGGAGAGCATACCCATTGTTAACAAGAAAAACATTGATCTAAATCCTGCAACTATTAGGGAGAGAGAGTGCGTGTGTGTTTATTGAGAGAGAGAAATTAATGAGGTTCAACGCCCACTCGACACAAACTAGGTCATTTCTAGACGAACACATGGTTTATTTTTATTTCAATACATCGCTTGCGCGTAGGGGTCATTAGCAGTGGCAGGAAACCGGAGGAACTGGAGAAAACCCACGTGGTTGGACAGGCGACCCTAGTCCTTGTCACGTACAACCGGGGAATCGAAACCACGCCAGTTCTCTCAATGACAGACCTTATGATACAGCGCGCACGAGCTAACCATTCGGCCATCCATCCCCCTTGAAACCATTAGAAATACAAATATTCTGCCAACAGATTTTGTTAGAAAACAACTAAATTATTGATTACTGCTTTTGTTATGTTAACTCTTGATTGTAACGCATACTGTATTCTTTACCAAAATACCTACTTGACCAACAGCTGCTATAATTATATCCAGGATTAAACCACCTGAACATATTGCACCCATTTTAAAAGATCTGCTTCGGCGACTAATTAATCACGCAATAAATTTTATGAGCAATACCATATTACTTATGTACTTAGATCTGTGTATAGTAGGAACCCTGCGACTCACCATTTATATAGAATAATGTATTTTATCATTTAAGATATAAATGTACTTAATATATGCTTGTAGAAATCTGACGTAAATAAAGTGTAGTAAAAAAAAAAAAAAAAAAAAAAAAAAAATACCATATTACTTCCTTAACTGATATTCCAGATAGAACTTTACGTCCATCCAATAGTAATCAGTAGTTGGATTGTAGTAGCTAACCTTGTAGAAAGATCGCGTGTCCATGCTGCTCTAAATGAGTGGAATAAATTATACCAATAATTTTCCAGAAGAGCTCAAATATGTCAATTTTTAAGAAACGTCTAAAAAGGAATATTTTAGAATTAATTATCAAAATTTCTTACGTTTTTGTTGATTCTGATAACAATGATTGCTTGTTGTTGTCCACCTGTACTTTGGTCCAATAAAGAATAATAATTGTGTATATCAAGAAATCAAAGAACAGATATACAAGTCGCAAAATAATAAAAGTTGAAATAGTCTTCCACACAGATCGAATATAAAGCAATAACTGAAGGCAGTGGATTACAATAAGTAAAAATATAATTAAACAAAAATGTTTCAACGCCTATATGTACGGTGCCTCATAAGTAACACGGTTATTATAATGTATAAATCAAAATTAATCTGCATGTTTAAGGGTGTGGTAATTATAATTTATATCGAGGTACTACTTTCATAGAACAAACCCCCATAAGAACCTAATCTTTCCAATTTGATTAAAATCAGATGTTCATTCCGTTTTGTTTTATATTTTATAATGTACTATATTAATATCTGACATATTTTGATTTTTACTAATCAAATCAGCTGTATTGATATACAGGGCTGTATGTTGTAGTGAATTATGGGAATGATTCTGGCTGTTGTGGTGAATTATGAGAATTATTCTGCGTGTTTATGTAGTATGGAATACAATTGTCTGTAGTATGGAATACAAAGCGTTACTCTGCCTGACAAACATTGTGGTGCCATTAATGTGTAGTTTGCTGATTTGCGAGGTAGGTAATGTAAACAGAAGATACGTACAATAATCCAGAATCGATAAAACAAAGGAATTAACCAGCATCATCTTTGCAATGTCTTTATCAATAAATGGGCGCAGTTTTCCGAAAAGTACACAGGTGGATTTTTTTTTTACTAATTGGGTTAATTTAATTGAAAGGTATTGGAAAACTTTCGGGGATGGTGTCCAACCTTAATGAAATAGATTTCCAAATAGATTAAAACTATAAAAAATATATTTTCTGTTAAGAAATCTCTTAAAACCGAACATTTAAAATATACGTACAATAATCCAGAATCGATAAAACAAAGGAATTAACCAGCATCATCTTTGCAATGTCTTTATCAATAAATGGGCGCAGTTTTCCGAAAAGTACACAGGTGGATTTTTTTTTTACTAATTGGGTTAATTTAATTGAAAGGTATTGGAAAACTTTCGGGGATGGTGTCCAACCTTAATGAAATAGATTTCCAAATAGATTAAAACTATAAAAAATATATTTTCTGTTAAGAAATCTCTTAAAACCGAACATTTAAAATATATTTACTTTTAATTTTTGATAGTAACTATTACTGTGTGTTACTTTGTCTATTGTGTAAGTGCATACCTTTTTTGTGCATTCCTTAAAGGTTTAATTTATGTAGAGCTTGTGTTATTTCATCTTTTATAGATTTTATGCAGAGAGTGCACCCGAGCATATAATTATATTATAATTATATTGCTAAAGGACCATATATCATTTTAGAATAGTTTTAAAACTCATTTAATATTCACAGATGTTTAGTGATTTTACATGATTTATATTACTAATATTTATATTCTATGATAATGACTCGTGTTATATTGCAAATTTGTGTAAAATAAGGAAAACAAATGGTACGTCGTTTCAACCCGTCGACGGATGTTGGGTTCTATAGGTACATATAGAAAAACAATCATAAGTATTTTTTTTAAAAATGGCGCTGTCATCTATGAGCTACCGTACACATACTATTACAAAAAAATAAACCAAGGAACATGCATGTATGTTAAACACGTTCTATGAAGAGAGCAGGACGACGACAAGATGACACATTCTTAATACCGGAAAGATTGAGGACGCACGTGATCCATAATAAATAGATTGTGGGTGAAGATAAAGGAAATAACTAACAGTACAATGGCCACATTTGGTTACTAATTAATTAAAGAGCGTACGAACATGAACGTAAGCTTTAGTTAAAGTATACACATTTTATAGTGCAATAGGAAGAAATGTCGTCAATTTCTGCGAGAAATATTCATCCGTCTTCCCTCTTTAGTGCAACAGATAACTGCATAACATCATTATCAAAATTGACAGAAATAGTTCTTGAGGACTACTCTTTTCAAAAAGCCCATTAGCCTTTCTAAAATCCAAAATGGCGACTATTTTCAAGATGGCCACACTTTCCGCCAACCAATCTGTGTAATAAAATCACACCAAATTGTAATTTTTGATAGATTTTAGAATCAAACATAACCACCTTAAATCCGATTTTAGATCTTTTGAATCACCTTAAAGACATTGTGTACGTTATTTAAATCTTACAGGTAAAATAATATGAGTGCAAAATGTTAGATGAGCTATCATGCATTTTGGTGTTTTGGGGGTCCGGAACTACTAGTAGGAGTAGTAATTTGTTATCAAACATTAACCACATATAGTTGGATTTATTAGTTATATAAAGTATTACATGTATTCATTAATTATATAAAGTGTTACATGTATTTATTAGCTATAAAAAGTATTACATGTATTCCTTAGTTATATAAATTATTACAAGTATTCATTAGTTATATTTAAAATTGGGGTCACGGTGGCTAAGTGGGTAAGACGCTGGCTCGCTAGCTTGGAGGTCGGGTGATCCATCCCTTCATTGACCGAGAAAGTTCATCCAGATTTTCCGGCATGGTTCCCCTTGTTAGTGATGCAGGACGGAGGACCTGACAAGGGCAGCTGTCTAGTCGTTCGGATGGGACGAAAAGCCAATATTCCGTTTACACATTGGTGTGCACGTAAAAGATCCCTTGACAGTTGGAATTCGATATAAGAGTAGGCCATAGTGCCGCTGTCCGGGCAAAATTTCCCTCATAGCACACTGTATGGCGTATGCCCGTCTTGATTAGCCCAGTTCGGAGCAGAACAGTAGGACGTTAAACTTCATTTCATTTCATTTCTATATTTAAAATATTGCATGTAATTATTAGATATATCAGGTATTACATGTATTCATTAGTTATATAAAATATAGCATGTATTCATTAGTCACATAAAGTATTACATGTATTCAGTATTATATAAAGTATTACATGTATTCATTAGTCATATAAAGTATAAAATTTATTCGTGTATTCAGTATTATATAAAGTATTACATTTAATCATTAGTCACATAAAGTATTACATGTATTCATTTACAACATAGTATTGCATGTATTCAGCAATTATTAGAGTATTACATGTGTTTAGTAATTATATAAAATGTTCTGAAAATTTAGTCAAGCTATCCTTCGTAAAAGAAACAACAATAGTTTTAATATAATTATTTATAATATTTTGTAAATAATCAGATGACAGGAAACAAATCGATTGTCGTTTATTTCATTTTGTGTAATATATGTGATATTAACTGAAAATAAAGAGTATATTGATTATTTAGACTTTCGAAAGTTTATGTGAACGTTTTTATTTATCTTTTATTTTAATACAATCCATTTTATGATCTATTTACCTAGTGGATCTAGGGCACCAAGTAATTATAACATTTCAAGTTTTAATGACCATTTTCTCAATGAATTAGTTGAATATATCAAAAGGCGTTGATCGAAATGCCTCTAATTTTATACTGACGTGGATTAACCTCCCTACACGCTAATTATAATAAAGTTGGATTTCATTGTTGATATATTTGTTACAGAAATACTTCTTATAATGGCATATTCCCTGCCCTAGCATTTGACACGTAATCATAGTAAATAAAATTAACCGTAGTATCTCGTCGTTAAGCCATTAAATTCCATCAGATTCATTTCCTTTTTTCTAGAGGAAAGCGTCTTACACATTCCACATAAAGAGTGGGGACAAATCAATAAATATTATTCAAAGAGCGGAAGGAGAGTGGCAGATGAGGAAATGGAACCGTAAACGGTTTAATTGTGTAACTGACGTTAAGCCAACGTTTATAGATTGTTGGGCTTGTCGTGGGTAGTAAATACGCACCCTACATTATTAATATATACAGTCGTATAATTCACAAGATGTAACTCTAATTGATTTCTATTCACAGACTGATTAAATCGGCTCCTCGTGTGATTTATACACATCATTCGCATGTACTTGATTTAAAGGTAGGGTTTCTCCTAGACCGGCAATGCGAAATAATTTAGTCCGAAATATCTAAATCTTTTCCAAATCTACCGTGGGATTTTAAAACAATTACAGATTGATGTTTTTATCGTTCCGTTTATTCCACTGATCACTCCATTAATATGTAAAGACAGACCTGTAATAGTTCAACTCAGTTAGACAACAAATCAAATGTTTGGATAATCAAAGATTTATCCGAGTTTTCTGTACCACTGATTTTATTTGTAGGTTAAGTTAAATCGACAAATCATAATATGCACAATAATGAACAGATGGCACTCGGCAAACCTCGGCAGATTCCGGTACTTTACATCTAGCCTCGGCTGTATGACGGTAAGTGAACCTACACCTAGACAATTGCGATGCGGCACCAGTTTACTCGTTAGGAAAACTTGCCGCTTTTAGAAATAAGTTCTCAAAATTGCGTCGTTCGAAGAGTGTGTAGAATTTTCAGTGTAAAGTTGTCCTTGTTTAACGAAAATCGGATAAACTTGAAAGAAAAACAGCTTCAGACTTTGAAAGCTTTGTATGATAAAACATTTTTCAAGGGCGTCGTCATGGGCGACGCCGTTGGTAATCCGGAAACTTGCAAGTAGTTCCAATGGCGGACTTCCTCATACAGTCGAGGCTAGATGTAGGGTATTGGAGTCTGCTGAGCTTTACCTAGTGGAACAGATGGCAAACCAATGCCTTCAGACCAAAATCAGGGAGTTTATTTATACCCCCAGGCCAAGATGAAGTGTAGGAAACAGACGAAAAATAAAACGGAGAGAAATGTTGGCATCCCTCTCTACTGTAATTTATAGTAGGGATAACTGTTGTCCTGTTTTTGGCGTCACTTCAAATCTTGTAGCATAGTCGGTCGAATATGGAAGCTAAACAACAAGCTTACCAAATCCGACGTGTAACATCATCCCTGCTACACATTCTTTGTTTTGGCCACTAATCGTCTACGTATGACTGGTGTGTATAATTTTGCAGCTCACCGATCTTGGAGTCCACGTTTTATAAATTATTAATTCAAACATACCCTATGCAAGAGCTAAATCTGCCTACTGCAGGTCTTTCTTTAGGCCTGAGATGTTATCTAAATTATTAAT